CAGCGACCTGAATCACTTCCGCATTGATCGGCTTGCGTGGCGCTGGCACAACCTGGAGCGACCTGTTCAAATCCTCGAAGAAGTCTCGAAAGCCCTTGACACTAGCAACGAATGAGTGATCTCTCAGGCAAGGGCGTCCGAGAAAAAAAAAAAAAAAAAAAAAAAGGCTTACTGCTTCACTCGATCTTCATAGACTCGAATCTCGTCAGCCTGCTCATAAGTGAGAACGAGGTCTTGAAGGAAGGTTTGCTTGAACTCCATGGTGGTTGAAAAGCGTTCGCTGTTGGGTCCCACTTCAGGCTTGAGACAGATGAGGTCAAACTCCAGCTTTCTGCTGTCCACCATGCGCCGAATAATGTCTGCGAAGCCACTCTCGCTTCGGCCCGTCAGAAGCACTGTGAGGGCGTCCTTCTGCTCCATACTCAGCTTGACTAGCCGTACCTGCGGCCAGTCAGTGAATCATGCCAAACTATCCAACACATTTTAAGTCACACAATCTGTTCATTCCACCAGCCATCCCATGCTCGCGGCTCCTCCTTGGCTATGCCTTCTCCTGTAGCTGCGAGCAAGTTCGGGTCGTGCCACCATCCTCCATTTGCGAAACTTTCATAGCTTTGTAGAAATCCGATCGTCGGGCCGTTCCAAAGTTGCGGATTCGGCAAGGGACTCAGGAATACTGCTCAATATAAGCTTCGAAACACAGACGCATGTGCGAACGGGAGCTCTCACAGGTGTTGTCGAAGTCGTACACATGTATAGCTCTTACCTGCGATACCGCTGTTGCATGAATAGAGTCAGCAACCAAAGGCTCAAGATATGTCCATCAGTCCAGGTGAAAACAAATCTCTCACCTGGTAAATCTCTGTTGATGATGGACCAGCGCTTCAACCCTGTGATGGTGCGTGAGATAAGCTGACTGCCATTCGCATGGTTCAAGAATCCATTTCCATTGGCTTTCCCTCGTGCCATTGTTGCGGCGGAGCTAAGAGGAGCAAAATAGTTTTCAGCAATGACAGATTTGGCAGACCTCATCATTCTTCCACCATGGTTCCGGCGTTGCGAGCAGCGTTTGGTGAATCTCGAAGATGGCAATTTGCGGCAGGTTTTTCCCGCCAGAACGTGACCTCCGCCCGCAGCAGGAGCAACCGAGCAGCTCTTCCACTTTGCCGATGGCATTCATTCCACCAAAACTGCCACAGATCGATCCCCTTAACTCGAAAATTAGTCTAATGTCTGATGTCTGAAGATGTCGACGTGCGACAGGAGATCCTGCAGAAAACGCTCCAAGAAGTAGCGCAAGAGGACAATGGTGACGATGTGGCTAACCCATGCGTCATCTGCCTGGAAGCAATCACAGAACCAGCTGTCGCGGTGCCTTGCACACATGCGAATTTCGACTTCTTATGTCTCGTGAGCTGGCTGGAGCAGCGCCGCAACTGTCCGTTATGTATGCCTCACTATCTGTGTAATTATCCTTCGCTTTCGGTTCACTTTATACTGACATTCCTAGGCAAGAGTGATGTTCACACTGTCAAGTACGAGCTTGAGAACCCTCAAGGACCGAAGTATTACAAACTACCTCCGATTCCTCCATCCGCTGCCAATGCGCCCGTCTCTATACCTCCTCATCGCCCAGGACAGTTACCCCGTGGTCCTCGCCACCGACGACGCCCCGCAGAAAGCCCACGGCCTCGGGAACCGGACGATCCCCTTATACGGCGGCAATATGTCTACCGTCATCAGCTTTACTCCCTAAGAGTCGGCTCGAACCGGCTCTCTCAGTACCGCGAACTATCGCCAGAATCGTTCAACCGTGACGAAGAGCTGGTCTCTCGGGCACGGAAATGGATACGGCGCGAGCTTAGGGTATTTACTTTCTTGAATCCGGAAGCGGAGGCAGAACCAGGCCCTAGTCGGGTGGCTCGGCCTGGTCAGCAGCGACTTGAGAGTCGAAGAGGGAATAATGCCGAGTTCTTACTCGAGTACATCATTGCTATTCTTCGCACTGTTGATATCAAGGGCAGTGCGGGGCAGGCGGAGGAGCTCTTGCGCGATTTCCTAGGGAGAGACAATGCGCGCTTGTTCTTGCATGAGCTGCAGGCCTGGTTGCGGAGCCCTTACACGTCTCTGGAGGATTGGGATCGCCATGTTCAGTACGAGGATATTACTCCTGGTGGCCCTTTGGCTCACCGAGAATCCGAGGTCTCTGACCGGACAGCGACTCCAGTCTACAGAGGCGCACAACGCTCATTCCGTGGGAGAGTATCAAAACCTCATCGTCCCCGGGGGTACCAACCATTGGGCAGATCGAGAGATGCCTTGGCGCAAGCCAGACGGCTACAGTATGCACGGGAGAGATATATTCCTGACTAATACGCGGCAGACATGTCGAATAGATTAACGCTGTACAATATAGACTAATGCATATATGGCCAAGTGGTATCTTTAATGCTGTGTGTGTTGTAGTCATTCCTCGTGAGTAATGTAGATGCAGACCTACTGTGGTCAATTCCCCGCCTGCCTATCTCCTGCGAAAGCGTCCAGCGCCCCGGGCTTTACTGTTCTTGTTTCGAATCTTTAAAGAGCGGTAGTTTGCATGCGCCTGGGGGTTCACCTTGCGCGCACGAACCTTCTTGGTCTCATCTTCTTTCACCGCGGGCTGGGTGGCTTTCGCCGGACGTTCTGCTGACTGTGGCTGGACAACTCCGATGGCCTCTTTCATCTTCTCCGAGAAGCTCTTGCTCTTAGTGACAGGTCTGGTATCTTCCCCATAGTCAGGATCGGAATCAAGGTCTGGCTCCGAGACGGTGTGAAGGGAGACTTCATCGTCTTCTTCGTCAAAGTTCTCATCTTGATCTTCACCAAAGGCGGCGTCAAGCGTACTCGGATGCTGTGTTTCGGGGATTGCTGCAAGCTCTTGCGCATCCTCACCAGCAGCCTGGTGTTCGTTTTCATCGTCCGAGGTCGAGGCCTGCGGCTTTGTGGCTGGCTTCGAGATGACGGGTTTCATGCGTACCCTGCGTGTTGTGCGTTTCTGCCCCTTCTTTTTCCAGGGTCGGCCGATGTTTTCAGCGGGCGTCTGGCTGTCGGCGACTTCGACGTTCAGTGCTGCCTGCTCCGCCTCGATCTCGCGGAGGACGTCCAATTCATCTTCCAGACGTTCTTCTTCCATGTCGCGTAGTCCTTGCACTAGCGCGGAGAGACCCTTTCCGACGAATTGTGGTGGTTTGCGCACGGCGATCGGACTCAGGCCGTCGGGATTGGCAGAGTGGGAGGTGGCGTATCGTGCCGAGTTTGACCGTCGCAAGAAAGACGGTGTCTCGGACCCGGTCACCTCGTTGGCGGTGCCCTCGGGATCAGTCCGGGAACCATGCTTCCTTCCAGTAATCTGATTGTGATCCTCAACCATTGCGGAATAGCGGAGTGTGGTCGGGGTCGCAAATAGCGCCGAAAGCATCCACTTCTTCCCGGACGATGCCGGAGTGCGTCCGGCTCTTGGGCTCTCCTCTTCTCCCTCTTCGTCTTCTTCCATGATTGTGTCCATAGTCTTTCGTTTCGACGGGGTCTGGACATTTGCAGTATGTAAGCTTGCTACGCGATCCGCTGAGGGTGTTGCTGTGCTCCCGCCGGATTCCGATAAGAGGTCGAAAAGACCTAGTGCCTTTCCGTCGCGTTGAGGGGTAGGACCGATGGCTGTTTTCAGCGGTGTACGGTGTGTTGATGGACTGAAGAGTCTACGCAAGGCCGTAGGTGAGATATAAGGATCGACCTGGGAAGGATGCGAGCTTGAAATTCGAGTCTTAGATGGCGTCTCGAAAGCACCTTTGGCGGTTTTTCGTGGCATGGACGCATTCTGAACAGTATCCGGGCCATCTTTAGATGCGTGTTTGCGTTTCTTAGGTCGTTCTTCTAACTTGACAGACTTTGGGTCGTCTAGGTTTCCCGAGGATTCGAGTGCTTTCAGTCGAGAGTACTCTTTGTATTTGGCAGCTGAGTTGATAGCGCAGTGTCAGTTATTCTCAGAGTATGATTCTAGTCAATTTTGAAAAGGTGATGACTATCATACCGATTTCAGGAACCTTCTTGATATCATTCCGCTCTGCTTTCCTCCCACCATTTTGCAGTGCAAAGGCCCTCTCCCACTCTTTTAGTTCCGCGCGCAGATTGGCGGATTGGGTCACGATCTCAGAGATGGCGGCACTTGCCATTTTTTCATGTCGAGCAGTCAATTGATTGTTCACCTTTATCGCAGAGATGGAAATCTAGGATGGATATCAGTGGTCCAGTCATTCCTTGAGCGGGCAATTGACCGGTCTCCCCTTGACGCGGTCGCGAAATCACTTAACGCGGGTTTGACAGCGTGGGTGACGTAGCGCGTTACTACAACTGAACAATCACATGACACTCTTGGACGGGATAAACATAGGGCATAGGGCAGTTTCCGAGGGCTACCCCCGTGCCTTTTCTTGGATGCAATCGAGGTAATCAGGACTTCGGAGTGGCTGCTTTCTTTGATCGTACCTTTCGTGGCTGCGTACTTGGTACATACTGTCAGGTGAATTAGCAAACAACGAAGCAGAGATAGCTGTATTGAAAGGGTGCTCAGATTACAGCGTAGTCCTCTGTAACTCTGCTCGGATCGCCTTGCACTTCGCCGAGACAATAAACTACATGCGTGATATAAGACTTACAAAATGCATCATGGTTACTAGTAGGACGGGTCATCAGCATCTCCAACTCGACGCACATATCGGGCTCCGAAGCTGGTCTATTGGAGGCAACAACATTCGGGGATAACGACAGCTCGGGATATTCGGTCTTATGCCGCTCGGAGTTGACGCATCTAAGAGGTATTTAATGATAGTAGTGGTAGCAATCGGACAATCCTTGACTATTGTCGCGGTGTTCTGCAAATTTAATTGTTGTCTGTTAGATATCCTCTCACTATTTTGTTGACCATAAACATTTGACAGCCGTCGCATTCACAGATTCCGGCCACGATGCTACGGTCGCTTCTATCATGGGGTCAGCGCAACACAGAGTACATCTTTCCAACCGTTGATCCAAGCAAGGATGGACCAGACTGCAAGCGCGATTGCGCCGATTGCACGGTCGAATTTCCGTCCAAGGTGAAGATTGAGTCCTTCATGCCGCTCTACGGACACGTCAAACAGTTCGATACACATGTGTTGGTGGCTACGGGAAAATCAGACTGGGTTGAAAGAGTGACGCAAGAAAAGGGCAGCTTGATGGAAGCATTGGATTCTGTCAAGCCACGACATGGGGTATGCATCTCGCCAGGGTTTTACGACCGTCTCTCTCACAGAAAGCAGCGACTCATGATATCTGCGTCAAATCTAAGCCCGCCGGAGAAGAACCTGGAGACCGAGAAGGACAACGTGGGAGATACCGTGCTGATTCTACCTTCATTCACATTTGTGGACTCTGTGAAGACCGGGGATGTGCGAGAGCTGGTTGACCGCTACATCGACACACCGCAGGACGCCGGAAACTCGCAGTCGAATTCTGCACTTGTATCACGGCCATGCGAGTATGATTACATCGTGCTCTTGTGCTCGCATAAGAGGCGAGATGCCCGTTGTGGGATCACGGCGCCGTTGATCAAGAAAGAGCTTGAAAGGCATCTGCGTCCTCTTGGGCTACATCGCGACGCACATGATGAGCGCCCGGGGGGCGTCGGGATATTCTTCGTCTCACATGTCGGTGGTCATAAATTCGCGGCCAATGTCATGATCTATCGCAAGAAGGAGCAGCAGATGATCTGGTTGGCCCGCATCAGGCCTGAACATTGCGAGGGCATTGTGAAGTACACCCTGTTGCAGGGCAAAGTGGTTCATCCGGAGAGTCAGCTTAGAGGAGGGTTTGATAGACATCGAGGATTGACGAGTTGGTGATTGGATCCATGGTATACCAATTTTGAGAAACTTGCGCTTTACTAATGTAAATGAAACTGGGATACTACGCGAGGAGACAACTGGTATGCTCTTTTACATCAACCATGCATCTGTGGTGCCTGAGGCGCTGAGCTTTCCTTCAGCTTCAGCCTCGGTAGGCTGATAGTCAGGAACTAGGATGCTCCACACCAGTCTGGCAGAAAAAGCTTGCTGTCATGCTTGCAATTTTACTCGCTCGTAGCCGAAGACCTCTTTGGATGTAGCCTCTAGGCAACGAGATTACTGGGGTGAGCCAGTACGGTGATACACGGCCATACGCGAGCTGAAATTGTATGGTAAGGTATGATTGCTGTAGTGGAGAAGCGAGGATAGTAGCACTCTGTGGTTGGTTCAAGTTGTTTTTCTGGCATTGTCGTCGGTGTTTGAAAGAGGTGAACCCCTTTTACTGCGTCCGCTGATCAAAATGGATGCCAGTGAGACCTTGAGACTCGAGACGTGAGAGTCGACAGTTGAGCGGATCGAGTAAGACAGCCGGTGACGATCTGGTGCCTGAGACCCTTAATTTTCTCCCAATTTGACAGGCGAGTGAGACCTGTTGCGGAGGGGATTGCCCGATCCGGTTAAGAAGCCCGGTGGGCCACACACGTAAGCTGCTGAGCCGGTTCCGCTTGTTCCTTATCAAAAACCCCGAGCCTGCGCCCGCTTACTGGAAGACTCGAGAGACAGAAAAGGATGAGGAAAAGAGGATGAAGCATCGTTGGAAGTCGTCGGTTTCAAAATCCCGATGATGATGATGTATCGATCATGACGGAAATTCAGCAGAAAATGGGGCCTCCAGACCCGGAGCAACCCCAAGCCCCAGAGCAACGCGTGCGCAAGAGGCGCAGACGCACTATGGCCTGCACGCAATGTCGCAGCAGAAAGCTCCGGTGTGATCGTGAGTATCCCATATGCGGCCGATGTCTCAAGAGCAAAACACCCTCCAAATGCACCTATGAGGACGGCTTTCTGTGGCAGCAACCCAATACAGTTGCGTCGCCCGTCTTCTCCGACCGAGGTTCCACAGCACTGGCTCAGCTGCCCCGAGTTGATCGGGCGCCCGCACTCACTACCCCGGACTCGGGGATAAGCAGTCTGCCGCCTCAGTCCCAACCACCGCTGCCATCTACACCGCATGGCCGTCATGGAGAAGAGAAACGGAGCTTTCTCGAGACTGTTCTCGGAGCCCCCAAGGCGGGTGTCAACCAGGAACCGTATGTGAATACCGAAGTGCTTCAGCGGCCCCGGCATGCTCCTGAGAGTCGGCAGGAAGCACAGCCACTGCTGTTGGAAGAAGACGATGAGCTTGCATCGCCTTCCCAGCAATTAGATATCCTGCCGCGCATGATGATGAGAGGTAAGGAGACCAAGACTCGGTTCAATGGGTCGGGCATACTTGCCAACTTGATCGCGCAGGTAAGTCACTGGCATATGCCGATTGATTTTCTTGCTGATCGACTCTGTGGCAGTTCCCAGATATCAGGTCATTTGCGGAGGAGGTCCGACTGTCGAGTCCGAATCTTACTCAACTTCGCTTCGACCTGGAACGGGTAAAGAGGGGGTTGTGGAAAAGAAAGCCGTTGAATGAGCCATTCCCACTGCCCGACACCAAGTCGCTCATTGACATGCTGCCCTCCCGTCGAGCAGTTGATGAACTGGTGGTCTTGTATCTGAGCTGTATTGAGTCCACACATCGTATTCTTCACGTTCCCTCCTTTCTTAAAGAGCTGGACGAGTTCTGGGCCCAAAAGGACAATCCCGATGTGGTATCAACTGGCTTTGTCGTGCAACTCCTCCTAGTTCTCGCCTGTGCTTGGAATCTAGCGGACTTTGATACTCTCCAGCTGAAGAACGAAGCGAGCCTCAAATGCTACACTCCGGTCGAGTGGGTTCTGCACGCCGAAAAGTGGCTGGATAATGCTCATATCAAACGGCCAGAGATCACAGCTCTCCGGCTGCAGATCCTCCTGATCATTGCTCACAATAGTTTCGGGATGAAGCGGAGCCATGCTTGGCTTGCTACGGGAACACTGGTCAAACAGGCTATGATGGCTGGATATCATCGCGACCCTAGTAGGTACACCAAGATTTCCGTCTTTAATAAGGAGATGCGCAGACGGATCTGGACGACCATTGTAGAACTTGACCTTCTGGTTGCTCTTGAACGGGGAATGCCCCCCTCAGTCCAAGAATCGGACTATGATACAGCTCCAGCCTCGAACATCAACGACAACGAAATCCAGGAGACCAGTACAGAGATTCCTGCCGAGAGGCCGCTCCACGAAGTGACCGATTCGTCCTTCCAGGCGGTCCTCACGCAATCACTCCCATTGCGCCTCAAAGCTTGCGCTCTGATGCATTCTCCGCGGATCAGCTGCCGCTACGAGGAGATTCTACGTTTGGACAGGGAGCTCGGGAGATATCTCCAGAAGATCCCTGCTTGGCCGACTGCCGAGAATGATGACTATCAGAGCCAGAACAAAGTCACTCTACTCAAATCCCTCCTGGAGACGAAAATCGCTCACAGTCTTCTCTCTATTCACACCCCTTTCGCAATCGAAGCTCCACGGGAGCCACTCTTTGCACCCTCTGCCCGCTCACGCCTAGAGATTGCCACGCTCATCCTTTCCAACCAAAAGCGCCTTCATGAAACGTCGAAACAATTGTCTCTCTGCAACTTTGGGGAGTGGACCATGCAGGCATTCTGTACAGTATGTCAGATATTGCACGCGGGGAATACCGGCCACGGTGAGTGACCCGTCATTCGCGATCTCAGGGTTGGCTCATGTCATTTCTTAATGTTTACTCGTAGCATCTTCTCCTACATCTCTCACTCACACGCTACCCGGGCTTCCCGAATCCCTCGTTTCGTTGTTAGAGATGGTCTTAGCCTCTGTTGAGACGAGACTGCTTCTTGTGGTCAAGGGCGCAAAGGAGTACTTCTTCATGTCGACGCTCCTGGCATTGGTCAAGGCCAAATTGTGGCCGGCACAGGCGAATGTTTACAAACAAGAGGTTGTCGACCGCGTGATCTATTTCGCGCAAACGCTCTTTTCGCGGCATGCCAACTGCGCTCACTTGGGCGATCGAGGGCAGGGCTGCTTCGGAACAAATCAGGTCAATGCTGGCCGTCTCACAATTCCTGTCGTCCACTCCGCTGACACGCCCTTCTCTTCCAGGTCCCTAGCTTGACTTCTGGCCCTGGCTTGGCGCCTCCTCTTGCCGCAGACCTGAACGGTGTCCTCCAACCCCCAGGTTTCGAAATCGCGGTGAGTGCCTGAACCTATTCCAATTCACTCTGCATCTCTGATGGCGTGAAATCTAGCCTTATGGAGAGATAGACCCTTTCCTGGAAGTCTTCGACTGGGCGGACTTGACGGGAATCACTCTTGGAGAATGACGTCAAAATGATATGGGCTGGAACCGACATACTCGCTTGATGTATTACTCGCACAGTATCCTATCAAGTTAGCCGGGATATGATCACGTTTTCCGTCATAGTGTCCGCCGCTTGGCCTACGAAGATCTGATGAGAGTTGCAGAACTCACCGGGTTGATCCTAATTGGGACAACCTCCTGTACATAGTGTAGCATGGTATAACATGATCACCGATCAGAAGCGATGTTCTCATAGCTTGGAGAAGCATGATCAAGGCAGTGAAGTGGATCGATCGCTTACATCGACTTGAGCTCAGAAATTAGTTGATCAGTTTGCTGGAAGGGTTGGAGACTTGGACAGGCGAAAGCCGAGAAACGACGATCAGCTCCACTGATCTACAAGTACTCCGTACACGGTTCTTGTAATGATGTCTTGGCGGTATTGACTTTCAGTCCCTGAATAGGAGCGTTCCTTGGTAATCTCAAGCAGTACGAGTAGCTCATATCAGAATAGTTGCCTCAGGCTCAGTAATTGTTTATGTGTCTGTATGTCTGTCATGATCTCTCCAAGGTACACTCACAATGAGGTATTCCGTACATCATACAGGCTTTACTTTCAGGGTCCAATTCTCCCATCGACATTGGCTCTTGAACCTCGCCCCTGATCCCGTGGTGGAGAATCTGCCCAACCAGGGAAAATGGCACGGTCCAATGTACGGACTGCAATGCCCCTCAGTCAGGGCAATAATACTGTATCTACGGAGTATCAAGCTTCACTTCTTTCTCTTAATCTGAAACGTGCACTAGAATATTTACCCACCTGATGTCTGATAGCAGATGATGTATTATTATTCTTCTAGTTCTAGACTCTGCTGGACTGCTGGAGCCTAGTCTCTTAGTCTACCTTAGTATTATCACGAACTCTCCAGGCATTTATCACATGGCCGTGTTGGTATTCGGTTGACGCTTCCATCTCATCACTGTCTTGGCTTCCGTAACATGGTATCATTTCTCTTGACTTGATCATGATGTGCGTTGTTCATTGACTGCTTATAGTTTCAAGAGACTGTGAGGATCAATTTCCCTCTTGTCACATTGCACGCATCCTTACCGCACCGCAATGTTCCGAATACAACTCCTGCTACAGGCATCAATTCTACTCTTCCACCAAGCAGTAGTCGGATCGCCGTCCTTATCGTCCAAAGAGAAAGCATCCATCTTCTCCAAGTCTCACAACTACCCACTCCCCAACCAGGGCAATATCGCCGTCCACGACCCTAATATCGTCGAATACAACGACCACTTCTACCTCTTCAAGGGAGGCGTCCACATACCCATCAGCAAGGCCTCGAGTCTCGACGGGCCCTGGACAAGTCTCGGAACAGTCCTGGACGGACCCAGCATCATCGAGAAACAGAACCGGACTCGGCCCTGGGCGCCGACGACGATCCAACACAACGGCTCATTTTACTGCTACTACACGATCAGCAGCCGCGGCAGCCGTAACAGCTCCATCGGAGTCGCGACGACCGATTCCCTCGATGGCGGGAAATGGACGGACCACGGAGCGGTGATCAACACGGGGTCGGGGAAGCTGTCGCACATCTACCCCTACAACGAGTCGAACGCGATCGATGCGTCGTTTGTCCTGGACAATAAGACGGGGAAGCCGTATTTGAACTACGGCAGTTTCTGGCACGGGATTTTCCAGGTCCCCCTGGCTGGGGATCTGCTGTCGGTTGAGGACGCGGAGCACCCGCGCGCCATCAATCTCGCGTACGAGCCGACGGAGAAGATCAAGCCGATAGAGGGGTCGTGGATGAGTTTTCGGGATCCGTATTATTATCTTTGGTTTAGTCATGGGAAGTGCTGTCGGTTTGGGAACGGTCAGGATGTCAAGGATTTCCCGGCAATGGGACAAGAGTTGGTCGCTTCTCTGCCGTTGATATGTCAGGCTGGCTGATTCAGACAGGTATGAGATTCGTGTGGGGAGGTCAACCAGTGCGAATGGACCCTTTCAGGATAAAGATGGTAGGAACCTCACTGACGGCGGTGGGACTGTTGTCTACGGCTCGAACCATGGTGTTGTTTATGCGCCTGGAGGAATCGGGGTGTTGCCTCAGAACGAGAAGCATCCTGATATCCTGTATTATCATTACCGTGAGTCGATTCCTTCGCTCTTCGTGTGTCAGTACTGACTCAAACAGTGAATACATCGGTTGGCTTCGTGGATGATGTGAGTTGGATCAGGACCAAGCAATGAACGTACTGACAAGCAAAAGGACGCACACTTGGGGTGGAATCACCTAGAGTACAAGGATGGATGGCCAGTAGCAAAGTATGTGCATTCCCCCTTTAAGGAGGGATAACATGTCAAACTAACCCTTGCAGAACCGGAGAGAACAGCGGAATGGCCATTCGTCCAAACTATATCCTCAGTATACCGGCTTTGATCGGTAGGTGATCTGTCAAAATCATATCGACTATGAACTGACAAGATACAGTGGCATATACTCTGATGTGACGTTCTGCCCGTAATTTGCATATCGCATCTTACCTCCATATAGACGAATGGTCCGACTGTACAATAGCTCAAGCTTATAGATACCCTTTTCGCTACTTGATAAAATGATGACATGCGTTCCTCTCATACCTCATATCTCATAGATCATATCATTCAGCTCAAGGATCCCAACCACCGTCAACATTCAGAACCAAGCCAGTCGTATACGACGAGGCATCACTCAGCAGAAACAGCACCGACTGCGCGACTTCATCTGCCGTCCCAATGCGCGGAATCGCCGTGGGCATAGCATTCAACGTACCCTGAATATCACGGGCCTTGTCAAGCAACGGCGTCTGGATCGTCCCACTGCAGCACAATCAGCAAACATGCCCAGAAAACAACCTCAGCCAGTCAACTCACGGAGCAACCGCATTGACCCTGATGGCCGGCCCAACCTCCTTCGCCACACTCTTCGTCAACCCCACAACCCCATGCTTCGTCGTCGAGTACGCCGCATGCAGCGCAAACCCTCTCACCCCCTGAATACTCGACGCATTGACGATACTCCCCTCGCCCGCGGTCGCCGCAATGCCCCTCACCTCCGCCCGCAGACAGTACATCATCCCCGTCAGATTCACTCTGATCAGCAAATCCCACTCCTCATCATCCTGCTCCACGAGCTTCCCGACCCCGTGCTTCCGCCCAATCGTCCCCGCCATGTTCGCCGCGCCGTCCAGCCGCCCGAATTTCCGCACCGTGGCCTCGATCCACGCGTCCACGGAAGCGGCGGACCCCACGTCCACGACCGTCGTGAGAACACTCTCTCTGTCGGCGCCGAGTTTCGCGAATGCGCTGGCGAGAGCGGCGGCGTCGATGTCTGCGAGGGAGAGGCGCGCGCCGCGGGCGTGCAGTTGCTGCGCGACGGCTAGGCCGATCCCCGCGACGCCGGTGACGGCGTAGACTTTGTTTCTGACGGAGTCCATGGCAGTACGGTTCTATATACTTGTAGAGATCGGGTGGTGTGAACAAGCGAGCAGGCGACGTGGTTGTTTGTGGTCTTATGAGAGGGGTAAGGGTCGGAGTATGTCCGGGGGACAGGATGAGGGGAGGGCTGGATTTAGCCATTTATCCGATGTAGTATCTGGTAGATTGCAGATCATTGACTGTTAATATCGATGGGTGCTCTAATTGGTGGTTTAATTGAGAGGATCTTCTATAAACCAAGTGGACTAGAACCGACCGGTGTATCCTGTATGTCTTCTTCCATGGGGCACTGCATTACTGTGTATGGATCAATAGCTTACCGTAGATAAAGCATTTATAGACGAGGTAATTAATCACTTCTCCTATTGAATCACTATTAATTCAACAGTATGAATGGTACTCCGTACAGCTGGATACATTGTTACCCCGTCTATATGGCAGATACGGATGGAAAGGAAATCCAGTCGAAGCGAGGTTGATCCAGTCAACAATGAATGGAATCACCCCCCTTGACATAGAACTCTACCTTCCCGCCCTTCCTCCCAGCCAGATCAGCGCGACAGGAACGAACAACTCCAGCATCGTCCCATCGGAAGCCCACCCTTCCACCACCCCTCAATCGCACCCCGTTTACACTCCCCCCTCCCCACGCCGCCGGAATAGCAGGCCCCAGCAGCACAGCCTGCACGCGAACATCATCCGCAGCTCGATCCGAATCCCTCACAAGCATAGACATGACAGCTCCCAAGATGCCGAAGTTGGCATCGATCTGGAACGGCGGGTTGCCAGAGTACATGTCGAACCCGTTCGCCGCGAAGTTATTCTGAATGGCGAGCGTGAGCTCCGCGTATGCGCTGTCGGTATCATTCAGAAGAGCCCAGCAGGCACTACGCCACATCTTCCCCCAGCCGGTGTTCGAGTCCTCGACGCCGGTCCCGCGCGAAGTCAGCGTTGTGGCGACCGCGTCGGTGACGGTGGAGTTGTGGCCGTGGACCGAGGAGATGGAGGAGCCCGGATACCAGCCGTAGAGGTTCGACAGATGCCGGTGCGTGTCGTTCTGGGTGTCGAGGTCGAGCTTCCACTCCTGGATCTGGCCCCAGGAGCCGATGTGGATGCCGTTGTCGAGGGAAGTGAATCTGGAGGCGATGGCTGATCGGAAGGAGGTGTCTGTGTCGCCGGATGCGTCCCAGCCGCGAAGGACGTGGTCGAAGACTTCCCAGATGAGCTGTTGGTAGTGGGTGCATCCGAAGGTCTATCATGTCACTTAGCGTTTGGGGGGGTTGCATGGTGGACGCGGGAACGCACCGTTGGGCCATGTTCTGGCGAGTTGCACGGGTTGACGACCCAGGTTCCGTCGTCAAAGTGCTCATCCTTGACGAGCTGCGAGAGCCAGAACTGTGCCGTGCCTTTGAGGATTGGATAGCCGACTGTTTGATACCATTCGACATCCCGAGTATAGTCGAAATGATCCCAGACATGCTGGGACATCCATGCGTTGACAGCCGGATAGTTGGCCCATTGTGCCGAATTTTTCATCCTGGCATTATTGTCAATAAGAAGACGATGACCCGGGAGACAGGGGATCCTACGCTGTATGCCCGAAAATATTTATTTCGTCGTGCGTCACCCACCCTTCAGCATCATACAACAGCCTCGCCGTTTCGGCACCCCGCGGCAACCAGGTCTCAAGCATATAAGTCCAGAGCGGCTCCGTCTGCCCGCCGAGTCCTGTTTGCTCGACTCCCCAGTGGTTCATTTGCAGGTTGATGTTGGCATGGTAATCCGCACTCCACGCCGGAGAGTACTGTTCCGTCCAGAGCCCTTGCAGGTTCGGCGGAAGGCTCCCGGGTCGCGAGGACGAGAGGAACAGATACCGACCATAGTCGAAGAGCAGATTCTCGACATAGGGGTTGCCCGGCTGAGTGTAGGAGGTGATGAGATCGGTTGTTGGCTTGCTCGCGGAGTTGTGTGGATCTGGGAGGGTGAGGGTGAAGCCATCAAAGATGCTCTGGAAGTCCTTGACATGCGCCGACTTGAGCTGTGAATAAGTCTTTCTGGCTGCCCTGGACGTTGTCTTTAGCACACCATCATAGGGGTCCTCCCCTCTGAAAGAGAAACCGGCTGCCGCATTTCCTCTGGAAGCATCGTAATCCGTTCCAGCTGCAACCACAACGACAATCTCCCTCTGACCTTCTGGCACATGGACAGCAGATTGCACACACAGATTCCTTTTCAGTCCAGGAACTACTACCGTCGCTCTAGCATTGTATAACATCCCAATCGCCGGAAAAGTCCGTCCATACAGACTGATACTATTCCCCGAGCAGGTGACATCCGGCTCCGGCGACGCAAGCCGATTCTCCAGATGGATCGCGACAGCCGGGAGACTTGTATTGGATGCGAGTCGGTAAACGCATACCTGGTCGGGATACGAGCAGAATGCCTCTCTGTACCGTCAACAGGACTCTTCTCGCCTTCCCCAGTCATGCCTACATCTCAATATACTTTTCTCCCGCACTGAACCGATCATCATAAACCCCCGTCTGCAGATCCAGACTCCGTCGGTAATCTCGCACAGTATCCATATCCATATCGCGATTACCCAGATCGACCGTCAGATTCGCAAGAACCTGGAAGGAGCCGTAATCGGGAAACTCCCCCAACAGCGCCGAGACGTTCCCCGTGCCGTTCTGGAAGATCCACTCCCTGATGCCGGGGAGGGCATCTGCCTTGGAGATGCTGGGATTACCCCCGGAATAAGACTGCCGACTAGTCTTAGTATCAATTCGCTTTTAATGAAGGGGTGCAGCGTACTGCGTTCTCGAATGGGCCGCCTCGCCACAATGAATCGATGTTCAGATTGATGATTTCCTTACCGGGGGAGCCGAGCGGCATTGCTGTCACCATTAGCATGTGTAAGTCGTAAGGCTTCGATTGAAGAGAGCCATACCTCCCAACCGACCATTTCCTAATGGAAACGCAGTGGTTATGAGATCCGCATAGCTACCGGGGGACTCAGACCAGAGGGATCTGGCTGTCGCAAGAGCGAGAACGAGGAGAGCTGAAGCTACGGTGAGGTACATGGTGACTTGATTGCATTCTTTCGATCAGAAATAGGAGGAAGAGGACTTGTATATGAACATCTGATCGACATACTAGAACAGGAAATGAGGGGTATAGAACTGATCAAGAGATGATTGGGGGATAATTTGTGCGGCATGCAGTAAGGTAGTTGCATTTAGCCGTGGGGATGCATCTCTAGATTCTTCTTGCATTTAGTATCATCTCCAACGATCATGTCCCGAGGGTATTGCCGGTGATATTTCAGTTTGATGGCGTAGATTGTCCCACAGGTTGTAACGGTCCCGTGTCTTGAGTTCTGCAATGAAGTCACAGCAGGTCTGAGCTGCTTCCATAACCACAGCTAATGATTCCATCCACCCAGCAACGGCCGCAAAATAAGAAGAAAAAGTAGAGACCTTGCACTGGGAGCGAGTCATGCCCGTAAAGGTGGCATTGGGTTGACGGGGCCATAGCCGGGACAACGGTCAGTTGTGGCCGCCGCGGTAAGCAGATTCTCTGCAGGATGGAGGGCATCACATAACTCCCTTATGTACGCAGTCCATGAATGCAGCGGCACAGCACAGCACAATGAGAAGCTGTAGAGAAAGAAAGAGATGGGAAGGGTTGAATAGACATCATTTAGCGGATCAGACAGAATGCAGTCAGGCTATTCACTTCTAGATATCTACTACAAAGAACTAATTCCCAATGTTAAGTAGAGAATGCAGAAGTCTGCAAGCTGAGTGAATGATCTAAACTGTCTAAATGAGTCCTCAGTCGAAGGATATTCCTGACCATTGGATGTGGAATTGCAAAACTACCTCTTCATTGCTTTCTAGATCGACCAAAAATACCATTATAGAACAGAAAGGACAACATATTCAATTCCTCAACTGTCAGATCCAGCAGCGTACCAAGAAGCGTCACAGTAGCCTGATTCCATTGCCCACCGGGCCCCAATTACCGCTGGACTTCGCCAACGGTCGACGGTGGGTTGCCTTAGCTCAGTCAGGCCTGGAAAGGCAAGCCCAGAGGAGTTACGCTGGGAGTAGGAGGGAAGCCTGGGAAGCCCGGAAACCGCCGGTAGGAGCGGGGAAACCACCGGTAGGGGTGGGAATGCCGCCGCTAGGCACGGGAGGGAAGAAAGGAGGAGAGCCTGACGGCTGTGGCCATTCGGGGAAGCCACCGGATGGCTTGGGGTGATGAGCTTCCTCGCGCTTTTCGAAGCCTCCGATACCACCCAGTCCGGGGAAGCCGGGCAAACCGGATGGAATCGGGAATGGCAGACCGCTTGGAAAGCCGGTAGGTAGACCCGATGGAATAGGGAAGGGAAAACCAGTGGGCATGCCAGACGGTATAGGGAACGGCAGGCCGGTTGGGAAACCGGTAGGTAGACCCGAAGGAAGAGAGAATGGGAGACCACCAGAGAGGCCAGATGGAAGAGGGAAGGGCAGGTCGGCTTCCTGGTCAACAGGTGCGGGCAAGGCGAGGGCACAGCCCAAAAAGCCCAGAGTCGCCGCGGTGGAGAACTTCATTTCGATTGTATGAAAAGTAGTGGTCTTTGAAGATAAGATAGAGGAGAGATTTTTCTGAGATGGACCTTAAGAAGCCTGCGTCAGAGACAAAGCGAGCTTGGAGTCGAAGGAATCAAGGGAGACAATGCATCTTTTATAGATGAGGACTTCCAGCACAAATCAATAAGGTAATTGATCAACACAATGGATGAAACAGTCAATCTATCTGGTTCTCGATTCAGAACAAGAAACAACAGGCCCATCACGTCTTCGGATGCAGCGTCCATGCCTGTTTCGAGGACTGTTGGTGCTCTCTAGTGGAGCCTACCATGGATGAAAAAACCAAGAACAAAGGTCCATGACAAAAGCCGAACGGCAATGTTGCTGGGCCTATGTATTACGCCAATATCACACTATTACTCGGTAGATGTATATCATTAGCCCTAAATGGGCGGTTTGATGATACATATTGTGAAACGTGGGTCGTTGCAGGTGGTGAATCTTACTGAGAACCCTGATGAGTCGATCAGTTGCGAGTAAGAGTCGAGACTCGAGGCTCTAGATTCATCCTTGGCCTCAAAATTCAGAATGGTCCGCCTGTAGACCATGATCAATCCTCAGTGAACCATTGATAATCCTAAGATCGTCACAATCGTCCGCTGGGATTTGAATATGATGCCATCGATCAGGAAGCCACAGTATTTTAGGCAAGAGTATCAATGTGATGACCTTGCAAGTCGTTGAATCCATGTATGCGATGCCTCATCCCTGCTATTCGGTATAGCCCATTTATCAGATGTGACGAAAATCGTTTGATATCCATGGAATCAAGGCCCACAAGATTCCAACGCCCAATCACATCAATTCTGAGCGACTGTTTCTCCTGATCGACAGGACATCTGGAGTCCTGGACGGCAATAAACTTCATGCTTCTCAGGTTCACAGTCGACCAGGCCCTCAGTCGAGCCATCCTCATCGGACCTCTTGAATCACTCGGAAGTCGGAACGTGTCCGCAGCGTTGATCGGTTATTCGATATCCGTGTTTGCACCACTGATGTGACGATCCCAGAAGGCGAGGGATTGCCAGTTGGCAACGAATGCAAAATTTCAGTCTGGGCCGTGCAAAAGAAATTCAGGTGCGAAAGATGCAGTAGTCCAGTGTGATGGTGATACCTTGTAGCCAGGATAGATGCCGTTCCTTGTCCCCCAGGGCTTCTTCACCTCGGATTGATGGAGGGGCGACGATCACAAACGCCGGATATGGTATCTGGTCCGAGTGATGAGACAAATCTGAGCATGGGCGTTCCAGCCTTGAGTCCATCAATAATTTGAGTAGTAAATCAGTCCGAAGACACTGGTCCTAAGCTAATACTGGCTCTCAATCGTCGGTTATGATGGAATCCCTTGGATTGCTTTCTGTGGATGGGTGTTGTGGATGCTTTGCTGCTCAAATCCAGGACGAACACAGAACGACAAGAATGACCCGTTCAGGCCAGCAATTATGGGTGCCTGAGGCAGTCTTCCTTTGACAAGCTCCTTGTCGAATCGAACCCGAGTTAGCAAGTTCCGCTGGGGTTGTTGAACAGGATAACATCCATCTACTGAGTGTGATGTGCCTCAGCTACTAGAAGCCAAAGCAAAGAGCGGTACACTAATTGAGACTGCTTTCCTATCCCGAGGCACCATATTGATGTACAGTCTTACAGCTAAGACATCTGATCTCTAACTCCAAGGCTCCAACAGATTACCACTCTCTTCACACTTTCAAAAGCATCATGATGCAAGGGCAACACAAAGCTCATAAGCTTTTCAGTGGACATTTCAGCTCAGCTATGGCTTTCCTTCAAGCTCAGGCTCACTCTACGAATTTCGCACAGACCGAAGCAAACAACCCCTTCTTTCGCTACACGTCCGGCCGTTGGCTATACAATGAGCAGCTCCAATTGGAAAGACGGTTTGTCAAATTCAACATTCCAGCTCTTCAGCAAGCTGCTGGTAAAGTGCTCGGTACTCGATGTGTCCAGATGACCAAGATACCGGAGGGGCTGTACAACAAGGTGTTTTCTCTGAAGATGGAGAATGGCAAGGAAGTGTTGGCAAGGATCCCAAATCCGAATGCTGGCCATCCGCAATATTGCGTGGCCAGTGAAGTCGCCACGCTTGATTTTGTGTGTGAGACTGTTCTTGCAATCAGTCCTTCGATTGGCTAATTCTGGTCCAAATGACATGGTAGCTTCGCAACGTCCTTGATATCCCCGTTCCTCGAGTCCTGGACTGGAGCTCTCCGGCATTGCGACCCAACCCAGTGGGCAGCGAGTATATTCTCATGGAGCGGGTGAGAGGACGCCAATTGAGCGGGGTTTGGGATGCAATGTCTGAAGCTCAGCGCTTCGGTTTGGTTAAAAGCCTGGTAGAGATTGAGAGGAAGTTGGTGAGCGCACAATTTACAAACCATGGCAGCCTATACTACAAGGATACATATCGACTGCCTAGCTCGAACCAAGAGACTGCTGCCAAATTCGTCATTGGCCCAACAACTGAGCGGTCTTTTTGGGAAGACGAGAGGCGTGGACTAGATATCGATCGGGGCCCTTGTAGGTTCATCTGATATTGTTATCAGGTTCAATTTTTCTTGTATAACGGACTAATGGCTTTATCAAGGGGAAACCGCCCAACAATACCTTTCAGCTATCGCAAAGCGTGAGATTGCCTTGATTCGAAGCTCAGCAAAGACACCAACAGCACAGGAGAAACATGTCCGGCTTCTTGAGCAGTTCCTCACTCTGCTCCCTCACATATTACCACCAGAAGAGCTTTCTCGTCCTGTCCTGCTGCATCACGACCTTCATCAAGATAATATATTTGTTGACGACGCGGATCCAACAAAAATATCAAGCATAATTGATTGGCAGGCAGTGTATTCCGCTCCACTGTTCATGCAAGCAAGATTTCCCTCGGTATTCAATTGCGACGACCAGTATCCATGGGGCGCGGTTCAACCTGAACTACCAAAAGACTTCGACACCCTCTCACAAACGGAAAAAGAGTTAGCTCAGGACGAACTTGCCAGGATTAGATTGAAGAAATTCTACGAATTCGCATCAAGGAAGTTCAACCCGCTTCTCATTAAGGCCATGGATGTCATGAGAAACGATGATGACCCTACAACGTTCATTTTCCATATTGTCGGCCAGTCCTCCCTTGATGGACCGATCCCGCTCAAAGAACTTCTTATACAGATGTATGAGAAATGGGACAAAATAGCGGAGAGGAGAGGCTTGGGGATACCATGCCCGATTTCATTTTTAAAAGAAGAAATCGAAGAAAGTCGTCAGCAGGCGACTGCATGGGCGGACGCGTATAAAGAGCTTGATACTCTGCGAACTCAAGTCATGGGTAAAGATGGCTGGGTCTCACATGAGGAATTCGAAGATGCCATGCGCAGGTGGGAAGACAACAAAGCAACTTTTGAAATGCTTCGAGAGCGACTAGAAAAGTTGCTTTCGTAGATTTACTTCGACCGTCACGGCTAAGCGCGCAGTGCAATTGCAGCAACGGAACTGAACTGCAGCACATTGTATCAACAGTGTGTATTGGTTGGATGACCAGGATCCGGTACATGCTTCACAAAAGGAAATGAGCATGCTAGTGAAATACTTACGACGGCATCTGCTGATTGCTTTTATAGATTCCTTCAGCAGCAGTCCTTGGCTCCCTGCTGATCTGGGGTATGCATATCCCTACGGGGTATCTAGGGCTAGGAGAAACACGGCAACTCGGCTTCCGAATTAACAAACAACGGATATAGGGAGAATGCAATAATTGTGAGGCTAAAAAGCCTAGCATACAAGTTCTACCTTCCTCTGCGTTACACCATCACATTCCCTGCCCGAACAGGTGGTACCCGGTATGCGTACTTGGCTTATTCTTTGGCGAGCATCGCCATGCAATCGGAAGCCATTCAAGTACCGTCTACGCCACTTCAATCATCACAACTACTCTTCCACGGTGATTTCAATCGTGGTAGACGTGACAGCGTAGGTTGTCGCGTCCGCGAAAGAAAGGGTAACGACATCAGGACCGAGCTTACGGCCGACAAACGTGAACACTTTGTTGTCCTGATCGGTCTTCACAGGGAAGACATTCTAGAAGGCGCGTGTGTCAGCTCAAGACCTGTTCCCATCTCTAGGGATAACGAGCGACTTACTCCATTTTGAACAGTGGAAGCAACCTGTGCAACATGCTCCGCCGATGCAGTGATGGAGAACTCCCCTCCAACCTTGACAGTCTGCGGTACACCGGACAGGTCCGGCGGAGCAGGAGCCTTGTATCCCGGGCCGTCGACCTCGCCATGCTGCAGATGCGCATGGATCTTGTCAACGATATCGTAGGTGCGGAACAATGCATTCGCATCTTGGCGGTGTTCAAAGTCCTCGGCAGTGATGACCGCGAAGATGTTTCCCCGAATCCACATGCTGCACGTGCGCTCTTTCACGCTCTCGAGGGCATACTGGCCGTAAGCACGGTCCTGCGGAACAGCCCTGAAGATTTCCACAGGGTTACGCGGATACCTGCAGAGCTGGTGGTGCATCGCCGTGAGAGCCTCTTCGTGGGTCTGGTTCACGACCATAGTGACAGTGTAGGTTGTCTTTTCGGGCACGGACGTGAACGTCCACTCGAGATGAGAGCGGACGGGGCCAATATCGCGTTCAACCGAGACAGACGAGTCACCTGGGAGGACCGTGCTGACCAGCTCGGGGATCTTCAGCAGGGATGAATTGGTGAAAGTGACAGATGGTGCGCCCTCCACCCGAGCCAGCTCCATGGCAAGCTTGATCGATTCCTGGACTGAGTTGGGGAGATCAGCCAGCCGCAGAGAAATATTCGCTGGGGTGTCAAGCGTCATGATGCCCTGAAGCTTCGTCGCATCGTTCGGGGTACCGGCCCGGAAACTGCCGTGGTAAAGTGCTGTTTTTGTGTCGACCGACTGGCTGATGAACGAGTTCAAGTCCTCGTTGCCGATATGAGGTCCGCAACAGGAGTCAATAATCGCATTCGTACGGGGAACGGCGACAAAGGCGTGGTTTCCAAAGCCCTGTCGGGAGACATCATTGATATCCTGTTTGAACTTGTCTTCCGGGTCCTTGAAGAATGGACTGTTGCATTGTCCCCAGCCGATCAACTGTGTATCGTTGATGTACCCAAAGGGATCCATGTACACCCACGCGTACGCGACATTGCCCGAATAAAACGCCAGGCCCACTTGGGCCAGGGCTGCGGTGTCGTAGCAGACCAGAAATTGCGGGTAGCCCGAATTCGCTCGCTTTGCCCATTTGGTGATCTGGAGGTTGCCCCCGCTGCTGGCTGTGCCAAATGCGGTGCCGGATGGAAGGGAGCCCAGCGCGTCATACAGATATCCAAAGTCCCGGAAAAGGGTGTCAGCCAGGAAGGCCACATAGTTGCCTGTAGTTCGCAATACCACGCGGCGGAGCAGCCCAATCGGCACCGAGGTTGTCTTGAAAAACTGGGCATCGGTGGTCTCATTGGTGACTGCGTATATCTCGATGCGGGTTGTCGCGCTCGTCTCAACAGCCTGTTTCTTCGGCTGGAGGACCACCTGCCAGGTCATATCTCCGGCCCAGCCAAACGGACCAGCGTCACAGTTGGGTTTCTGTAGCATTGTGCAGTCGATGCGGGAATTGAATCGGCCCACGCCCGACTCAAAAACCACAGCGCCATTCAAGATGCCTCGCAAAGCAACGGGGATCTTATCGATGTTAGCATCCCCACTGGACGCCAGGTCCACCTGAATGGTCGACGACATTTGCTCAGACTGCACCGCAACGGCTTGAAAGGAACCGTTGACCGTACGCATAGTGTTGTCTTGGACGCTCTGGGCAATTTGCGGTGTCCAGATCACGACGGGCTGAGAGGCGCCAACAACGACCCCTGCTGAATTCAGCACTGGTGCAGTAGGGTTGGGAACCAGAAGCTGGGTGATATTAGGGCGTGTTTGGATATCTTTCAGACCGATCGTGACGGTCACTTCAACAACGATATCAAACAAAGATCCTATCAGTAACCATATCCCAAGGGTTCTCCTGGGGTCACTCACCGTTAAGTGGATGGCCTGATTTACTCCAAGGGGTATTCGACACATCGAACATAAAGTCCAGGTTGTTAAGACCCCAACTGAAACCATTGTCTTCAGACACCGGGCACTTGAAATTGCAGCGAAATATGGTAGTTTCCATGCCAGGAATGTCAATCCGGTATTCGAACCATCCTTCCGCGCCAGGTGCAACTGTTCGACAGGTTAGTTCCAGACACTCGGAGCATTTACATAGAGTCTGTAAGATACTGACGGGTCTTGTCTTTCAGCGAAATCTCCCCCTTGGCCGTTGGATTGATGCGGTACGGCGGTTCTTTGTCCCAGTAGCCGTGGGTATCCTCCTTATTGAAATACACGAGATCAACCGGCAAATTGTTCTGCACTGAGATGTAACAGCCAAAGTCTGCATTTGGCACAGGATCCGACATGTTGTAATTCGAGGGCCCTGACTGTGCTTTTTTTGGCGAAACAGATCGCGAATGAAAGGAATATCGCGCGGTGATGGCAGATGAAAAGAGAAATGAGCAGCGCTGAGACGAGCTTTATATACATGGACTGACTGGGACAATATCGTCGCCTTTCCTGAGGCCTTCATCAGTGCGACTCTCCCCTTCGCACCATGATCGAGGCCCGGGACTGATGGCTGAGCTGTGCTTTCATCCAGGAGAGCAAGTAATACTGACCAAATCGTGATTCAGCTGCCCTTTGGCAATTGACCTATCCACTATTCAGCTAGGAACAGCCGAGAAATAGGCATCATGACTCGTATCATGACTTCGTGTCAACGCCATGATATTCTCGGGCTGAGGGAGAAGACCCCGCTAGAGGCCCAGACTCGGCATTTATTGCCCAAATTGAAAGATGATGGATGATATCTCTATACAAAGTACCCTGCATCTAGTATTCAGCCAGCCCGGTCAGGGACGGTGGATCATGTGGTGTGTACGAGCATAATAAACCTGATTGCATCTATCTTGGGGTTGGTTGACGAAGCGATAGGTACAGCGACCCCTGCAGTTTTCACCTTCTTCACCAGGCTCGAGCCCGTCCTAGTGTTCAGGAGCCTGTCCACCAAGTTCCGTCTCACAGCTCGGTTAAGACTGCCACTTTCTGGGCTTCAACTGACAGGGCCATCGCTGTTATGCGGACTGCTCTCGATTGCATCCCTTTCTGTGGAAACATCCTGTCAGCGTGGCTGGCTGAATCTGACCGAATGGCTTTGCCGAGAATGATTTATGTCTTATATAGCCGTCCTTGTTACGTTCTAAACTTGAATCCATCCGGCGCACAGTTTGAGAATTCAGCTTCACGACTCACTGCTTCAGGGTAGCGAGTATGATTGATCCAGCTTCACAGTACGTAATGAATTCCTAGTATGAAGCGAGCTAACACTCTATTAAAGCAAAACTACCCCTGGAGACGATGAATCTCAACTGCAGGATCCGGTGAGCTTGAGCGACGAGGATATATGGAAGGCATTCCGACACCATAGCCCCGGAGTCGTCACTTTTCCATCCGTTCTGGCCCAAATTCCCATTCAAAGAACTCTCAACCCTACCGTTCCAGAGCCTCCGGACGGAAGATTCCGGTTCGAGTATGCAGAGCATACGTGGCTGGGAAATGCAATCCCTCTGAGATGGCACGACGGCACGACCAAGCTCGCAAAGGAGATCTTGATCAGTCTGCCAAATGGGCTGAGGATCACCTACGGGACCATCAACGCTCTCGCAGGGGACTTTTACGCAATGAGCGACCCCATATGCGAAGGCCCGAGCCTGATGCAACGACAGGACCGATTCAGGCGGTCGTTTGACTTTCTGGCGTCGGATCCCAAAACGCCAGCCGAAGCCCAGGAACTGATGCACCTACTTCAGTTGGAGATTGACAGGGTCAACGAGGCCCTGCGCCAGGGGAAGTCCGTGCCCGAGGCTTATTATAGCCTCGGAGACATGACTGCAGAGTTCCTAACGATCATGTCAAAGTACAGACCCATCGGCTCCGGCAAACCGGACTACCTGCGGCTGGCGAAGTCCAATCTTGACCACTTCGGAGAAGGGGCCCGAATGGCATACGATGCGGGACATTCCCTCGCCCTCGAGGTGGCGGCAAAAGGCACCCCCCAAGCGCTGGAGCTGGGGTATGCGATGAACGCATTCGCCGACCACTTCCTGGAAGACCAGTTCGCCGCTGGGCACTTGCGCACCCCAAGGAAAGCCCTTTCCGGTATTGGGGTTTCTGACCTGTGCTCCAAGGTTGTTCCTCTTTTCCTTTCTTCCTTATATCACAATCCATCCCATGCTAACCGTCTCCCCCACAGTACATGCACGACGAAGACAACGCCATCGGGCTGCAAGTGTCGAATCCACACGGAGAGACCTGGACCGCATACGGCGACAAGAAGCTCTTGACCGGCGACGACGCGGAGAATCAGAAACGCTGTCACCAGGCACTGATGGCGTCGGCCGATGAAGTGTACGACGCGTGGACCTCGCGCAAACCAACCCCGATCGGACTGTTCAAGGCGTGGAACCACGCGCCCACATTGCAGTCGGCCCAGGCGAAGCAGGAGCACGAGCCTCTGTTCAACCCGAAAGCGCAAGTGCGCACGCCGTTTGAGGATCGCAGATCGACCAACTACACATCCGTCTTCAACTGGGTTGGGCTGTATATGAAGTTTCGAGAGAGTCCGGTGTTCAAGGAGCCTATTCGTTTGTAGCGAGCATCTACTGGCATCGGGTTGGAAATGAGGTAGTTTATGGCAAGACTGGTTGATAACAGCGCTGAAATGTCTCCCTTTGACTGGAGGTTGTACAAGTACTGAGAAAGTTCAGAGTTCAGTATACCTCTATTGAGATACTCTATCTACGGTCACTTTGCCTGCATCTTCTGCTGCCGAGCCCACTCCAACGCACTTCGCTTCGCCGATTCCTCGCCCACCTCACCAAAGATATCGACTCCCAGTCTAGCCGGAAAGTTCATCCGCTGGTGGCGTTCCAACGCCTGGATTCTCTCGAATGCATGCTCGGGTAAGACGAACACTATCCTGTCACCTTTCATCCTAGCTCATTGGATAGATGACTACTTACCCTCGAGGTTCCTCCGGATACGCTCCGGCGTGACCGACTTGGGCACGACAGATGTCCCGCGCTGAATGGCCCAGCTGATCAGCACCTGTGCGGGTGTCTTGTCTAGCTCTTTGGCGATCTGAATGACGGTCGGATCATCGACGGCCCTTGCATCGTTAGCATGGACTATATATAGGTGTAGGATACTCACCGAGGGATGTTATAGATGTTGTTCCCTAGGGGCGAGTAAGCGGTTACCACGAGTCCCTACTCTGTCAGTATACTTCAAGCTTGCAATCATACCAGGCATACCTGTTGCTTGGACCACTCGAGCAAATCCCTCTGCTGGAGATAGGGGTGTGCTTCGATCTGGTTGACGGCGGGGGGGATACGAGCCCTGCAGCGATGCAATTTAGCTCACCTTCATCAACAACAAAGAAAAGAAACGAAGCCGAGGAAAACATACGTAGTCATCAACTCCTCAATCCTCTGACGAGTGAAATTGCTCACCCCGATGGCGCGCACCTTTCCCTTCTCCACCAGCTCCTCCATCGCAGCCCAGGTATCCTTGACCGGGACGTCAATGACATCGACCAGCCCGGTTCCAGGGTCAACGGGCTGACTCGTCGTCGTCGAGTAGCGGAACGCAACGGGCCAATGGATCAGGTAGAGATCTAGATATTCGACCTGCAGATCCGTGAGCGATTGTTCGAGCGCCTCCGCCACGTGCTCGGGCTCGTGGTGCGTATTCCATAATTTGCTGGTGATCTATTCAGTCAGCACAGTCAGGACCCAAGGTGGATTGTGACGGTCAACGTACGAAGATCTCTCCCCGTGGAACACCGGACAGTCTGATTCCCTCTCCCACCTCCTTCTCATTGCCGTAGACTGCTGCTGCGTCGATGTGTCGGTATCCGGCTTTTAAAGCTGTACAGACGGCCTCTTTGACCTCATTCGGCTTGGACTGCCAGGTTCCGAGGCCGATGGCTGGCATGCGGTGGCCGGTTTTCAGGGGGTAGGATGTAGATAGAGCCATTTCTTCTTCCTGAATTTTATAACTTGGAGTGGTAGTGCATGGTTGTGATGGGGTTATATAGGAGGCCATATCCGGATGGAGATGGATGCTTTTCCGGATGATATCCGAGGGGTTTCCGGTGGGGAATCCTCAAGGGATTATGCGATGTGGTATAGGACTCTGAAATAGACACTGAAGTCCATCATATCCATCATGAGGAATTCCAACTGGTACTCTGTAGATGAAGATGATCAACATTAGCATTAACAATACACAGTCAATAGAATACACAGTCAAAGAATGCAGCCAATAGGATATGACAATCTTATCAATCACTGCATCTACAGATCGCACAACCTGATTGGCTGGTTCCTGCAATTCTAAAGAATCTTCAGAGATGAATTAAACTCTAATCTGTGATGCTATTATGTGATTTATTCAATGTCATTGCTATGCTAGTGCAAATAATATCTACTAGGTATGCATAAAGCTTTCTGTCAGTTGTGTATCCAACTCTGATGCCATTCATGGCTTGGCTTGCACCATCGCATACCGAATCAACTAACCTTATCAGATCCTTATCGTTCCCCAGAAGATAAAAGCGCTCTGCTGCTGCTAGACTCGTTCAATATATTCAATCCAATGGCAGCCAAAAGTGTCGCCGTCATCGGTGCAGGCCCAGCCGGGGCCATCGCAGTCGATGCCCTCATGCAGGAGCGCGGCTGGCTGGGGAGCCGGGAGAGAATCAACCGGGTCGAAGGCTGCCCGCGTTTGAGCAGAAATGGGTGGACGATTTCAATGCAGGTCATCAGAGGCGGATTCGGATGTGGAAGAAGCTTAATGGGGAGGTTGCAAGTATGAGTAAGTTGTAGTCACGGAGGAGAGATAGATATAGATTCGGATAGATGGATACCGATCTTTCAGGCGTTTCACAAGCAATCAGATAGCAGCGATCCACAGCCGTACACAAGCACCACGATAGACGAGATGATTTCCGCGCTGAAGCGTCTCTACCGAGAGCACCTGTGCGATGCGCGGGGGCTGCTTTGGACAACGGTATGGGTGCTGCAGTCAACCCCTACAGGAACTTTATATCCCTTGTCTAATGGGTGTACGGGCACTGCACGGCGGAGTGTCCGAGCCGCAATCTGTTTTATGGATGCTACAAGCCTGACGCCAGGCTACCAGAGATTGATACTGCTTGCTGTCGCCAGATGATATTCAACCTGCTGTTTCCAACCGTGGTTGAGGGATAGTTGCTTGCCATTGGCACATGGAAGCCAATTTCGCTACTGCTATACAAATGACAAGTCATTGCTATCTACTCACACACATTCAACAAAGCCACCGTAGGGTCATGGTCACTCGCCTGGTCATCGTACGAAACCCACGTGTTGACATGCAGATGGTGTATCTGGGCGCCCTGTGCCAGCGCCGGGCTCACAAACACGTGGTCCAGCTGTTGGCAGTTCATATCATAAAGATACGTGTATCGCTCCGTAGTCTCAATGCCAGCGACTGCGTCGAGATCCTCGAGCCCGGAGTCAGACAGAAAGGTTTCCAACGGCTCCGCGAAGGTGAATTCGTTGAAGTCGCCGGAGACGATGAGCTTGGCGGTGGAGTCTTCGGCCAGGATGGACGATGTGAATTCCTGTTGGATGTCATTAGTATTATTCAAAGGCAGAGAGCGAGTACGTACAGCAACGAGCTTCGCCTGCGCCTCACGCTTGGCAACGCCCCCGTTCACCGGCGGCCGGGCATCGCCCTCGATCGACGACCCGCCCCCCTTGCTGGTGAAGTGCACATTCACCGTGAAGAACTTGTTCTTGCCGTCTAGCGTCTCCCAGGCGGCGGCCAGCGGCTTGCGGCTGTCATCCCAGGCGTCATTGGACGGGTCGATCAGGCCCGGGTTATACTTGAGTTCGGCGCCGGCGAGGACCTCGTTGGCGTCGGTGTTGGAGCCAGGGTTGGCGTTGCGCAGGCGGATCACGGAGGCGTCGTACAGGTAGGCGACGCGGATGTTTCCGCCTGGCTCCCCGCCGTCCTGGTCGTTGACGGGAGCAATATCGACGAAGGAGTAGTTGATGCCGCCTTGGTCGGCGATGGACTGGACGAGGGTCGAGAGTGTCTTGTTGGCGGAGACCACTGCAGCAGTTAGCTGGAGCTCGTCAGTCAGGACGCGAAACATACCGCCGTCGTCAGTCGCTCCGTCATTATCCTGGATTTCCTGCAGGAAGACCAGCGTCGGACTCTTCAGGTACTGCGCGATGTGCTTGGCGATCTTGGGCAGCGTCGACGAGCTGGGAGAGAGGTTGTTGACATTGTACGAGCCAAACGTCACAGCGCAGCAGGTTCCGGCTGACACGAGGTCCGTAGCAGCAGCTGCCGTCGTGTTCGACCCGGTAACAGTCAATGCAGTCAAGGGCAGAAGCGCATAGTACCCGTACGCCGGCGCGATGACGCCCGTAAGGTCCCGGATCGAATCCCCCAGCTTGGTATCGGTAGGATTATCACTGCCATCCAGCGGAGAACCAATGAGAACCGCCTCCGGGTTCGAATCTACGCAGTCAAGTCAGCAACGCTCGTTGAAGGGAGAGGAGAGCATACCCTTATCCCGCATCGTCAGCCCTCCCCTCTCATTCTCCCCACTCGCCTCCCAGTCCCCAAGCACCCACGTATCCCCATACGAGTTCGGCTTCGCAATAGCCCGCACATTCGACAGACTCACCAACTCCCCGCTCAGGCTCTCCCAAAAGTCCATCCCGTACTTACCCGGCTGCAGCACCGGATTGGAACTGCTGATCTGGCTCACATTATTCGGCACAGCGAGCACATCCCCTCCATCCAGAGAGGAGAACTGCTCCGTAGGCGGGGACCGTCCACCCTTGCCGACCGCCACCGGCACGACATTATTGCCGCTCGAGACGACGGTGATGGCAGACGGCGAGGTGAGCTCCGTCTGATACACGTACGAGGACGAGGAGCGGTACTCGGAGACCTTCCCAGTGAGGGTGATGATGTCGCCGACGGAGACTTTGGAGACGGCGGTGCTGCCGTAGACGTAGATTGATTCGGAGGTGGCGTCGTCGTCGTCTGGGGTCGTCGAGCGCAGGTAGAAGCCTGCGGAGCCTTTGGCTGTTACCAGGCCTTGGATGTTGGAGACCGTTTTGCCCGCGTAGAGCGAGAGGTACTGGTTTCCGTTGATTTGGCTGATGGTGAGGGCTGAGGTAGAGACGAGCAGCGCCGAGACGCAGAGGGAGAGGGAGACCGCTTTCACCTTCATTTTAGCAGGTCTTTGCCAAGCGTGAGTGGCTGCTCCTTTCTTCGAAAGGATTGAGGAGGATTAGACATGGCGCCATGTTTTATACTATGGAATCGTGAGGGGTCGGCGGAGTCCGAGGCAATTGTGCTTGCATACAGCGATTAGACTATCGCCAGAAGCGAAGGATAGATTAATTCCAGGTCAATTTAGATATGCCGGCCCTTTGCACCAGTGACAGTCTCTCGTGAAGCCCACGTTGCAGAGCCAAGTCTGCAGCCAAGCACGCCAAGTGACGCCGTCAATGCAACATCATCTGCAGCATGTCTATGGTGATAGGAATGAGATAGGCCTACTAGAACCTGAAGATCATTTCCCGAGCCTGGCGAGACTGCAGAAAATTGTGGCTTGTTTGGTATATACCGCTGTCAAGTGAAAACATCCGTCGCGTATCGCTCCTTTGTCTTTAGATTATCCAGGAATTTCTCCGCAGCAGCATCCTCGTCATCCTCTGCAGCGACGTCCTCGCCACGTTCCCGCGCCTCCCGACGCAATTGGCGTCTCCTCTCCAGGTAAATGTCCTTGCAGGCCTGGCGCACTCCATTCCCTACATTTGTGCTGCCACACACGTAGATCCGAGCGCCCTGGTCAAACAGACTGACCAATTCCTCGCGGTCTTCCAGCATCAGATCCTGCACATGACGGCCCTTTGATCCGTCCTCCGGCCGGCTGTAAGCCCACCTCACGTCAACGGCGCCCAGTTGAGCCCACTCGGCGAGCTCAGCCGCGTGGATGTCATCCTTGCCTTGGGTCCGGCAGCCCACGTACAATAGAGCTCTGGCTGGCTGTCCAACCTCGGGAAGCTGCGCATCAGAGCCGACCGAGCTGCGTCTTCCCCGGATCTTCTCGGCGCGGTCCATGACGAACCCACGGAAGGGCGCAAGTCCGCTTCCTGCGCACGCCATGATCATTGGCGTCTTCAGGTCCACCGGCGGCTTGAAGCCTGAATGAGACGGCCGCACGGTGATATGGGCACGCTCGCCGGGCTTCAGCTCTGACAAGTAGGTGGAGGCAACTCCCATGTACTGCTCAGCTTCCGCTCGCTCGGCGGGTGGCAGCGATACCGCTGCCAGAGATGGTGCGTTGAGCACAGAAAACGTAATCGAGCATTCGGAAGGATCCGCCAGGGGAGAAGAGGAGATGGAATATTGACGCACCCGCATGGGCGGGAGCATGGCCAGGAAGTCGCCGACGGGCAGCTTGATTGAAGGGTACCGGATCAGGATATCCAACGGACTCATCCGTTTCTTGACGATTTCCTCGGTGAACCGAGTGGGACTGGACGCGAGATAGCGCAGTTCAGCCTGCACGTCGGCGTCGGTGACGGCGGCGTCTGCCAGTGCGTTCAGGTCGCGCTTAGAGGCCGGCTGAGAGAGCTCGACATAGGTGGAGAGAAGTTCGAAAGCCGAGATGGGCGTGTCAAGAGGAATCGCGGTGGAGCCCTTGGGGGCCTGGGTGGGTTTGCGGATTGTCAGCATGGCATCCCAGGGAAGATCAAAACGTCGGATGGCCCGGCGAACGACGCTGCTCGGGTTCACCGGCAGTACAGCCAAGTAATCGCCACACTGGTAGCTCATATCCGAAGGGAGTTTGAACCGGATCATTCTCTTGGCTGGGACGCCGGGTTTCGAAAGTAACTGATTCTCAACCACGAATCCTTCCTGCAGCTGAAGACCAAGGGTCGAGGCCCGCATTCCCGAGCTGACTTCTACCTGCAGACTGGACGAGGATTGAGGCTCGTCGGACTTTCCACCCCCGAACTTGGCTGTGATTGCAGGCCAGAAGGCGGACTCGCCCCATGAATCAAAGTCGGTAAACATGTCTGAATTGGCCGCATCGGCTAGTCCGATATCACACAACCGGTTTCCTCCATGCTCCGCGACAAGCTGATTGACCGCTTTGGGGATGCGGTGAAAGGTAGCCTGCCAATCGTCTGCGAAATTTAGCAAATGTATGGTATCAAGTCATAGACATAGTATGGCAGGCATAGCCAGGGGAGAGAGAAACGGAAACGGTCACTCACGATGGCCACAGCCAAACACGGCATAATTGACGCCCTCGAGCTCATTTCCCTTCAAGGCGCTGAGCCATTCGAAAAAGTGAGCAGCATTATCTGGCGGTTGACCCTCGTACGATGCCGTGATGAACACCACCGGTTCGTCTCTCGGAACATTCTGCATGGGGGAATCCAAAGACTGAACTTCGGCAGCGAATCCATATCCTACAGCATCGTCGGCCAATCTGCGCGCAAATGTCTCACATGTTCCTGTGTTGCTTCCAAAGAAGATGTGCATCGGTTTGAGCTGACCAGGGCGGGGAGCGGCTTGCTTGCGACCCTTGCTCGCTGCTCCCGAGCTCTCTGGCGGCGCACTGTCCGCGCTGCCGCTCAGAACGATGCCGAGTTTGGTAGCGTCCAGTCCATGCCTCAGAGCGGCTCTCATGTGGAAGTCCTTTGGCTTGATGGTGAGCGTTTGCTTGATGCGGAGGTCGTAGCTGGGATTGTCCATCTGAAAGTTGAAGTTCTGCAGCAGGATAGCCACCACCAGCAAGGCTTCCTGCCAAGCAAAAGGGCGGCCGATGCAGGCCCGCATCCCGTTGCCGAACGGCTTCCAGGCGTTCTTGGGAAGCTTTTCAAAGTTCTCGTCGAGCATTCGCTCCGGCTTGAACTCTTCTGCATCGGGGCCGTAGACCTGAGGGTCGCGGTGCAGCTTGTCCAGGATGATCACAATGGCCTCATCCTTGTTTAATACATACTTGCCATTTCCCAGGGTAACAGGATCCTCCTTGTTTTTCTCTGGGTGTGCATGTACAGCAATCAGAGGGGCCGTAGACCTCAGACGCAGCGTCTCTCGCATCACAGCGTTGATATACGGCAATTTCGACATATCCTCCACCGTAATCTTCCGCCGGCCAATGACAGAGTCAACCTCCTCTTGCGCTTTCTTGTAGGCACGGGGGTTTTTCAGCAGGTAGTAAAAGAGGAAGGAGAGCAGGCCGGAGGTCGTTTCGTGGCCTGGTATCATCAGCTGAGAGTGCCCGAAGGAAAATGGTAGAGCAGGACGTACCAGCGATCAGGAATGTGATCATATTGTCAATGATCGAGTCATCGGTCAACCCCTGGCCGGTCTTAGGATCCCGTCCCAGGATCAGCGCGTTCAAAAGATCCTTCTTATCCTCGGGATTCTTCCTCCGTGTCTCGACCAATTCCTGCGCAAGGTTCCGCAGGAAGGTGATGTCGTTCCAATACTTGGCATTCTCGCCCGTGGGCAGATTGTTGATAAGCGCCGGTCGACGAGCCCGGTCACCGGATCCTTGTAACAGGCCCACCATGGCCTCGACAAAAGGGTGCATCTCTTCGTGGTAAAAAGAGTTGAAACGGGTTCCCATCGCGCAAAGGGCGATGGTGTCTAAGGTCAATCGGGTGAAATCATCGGTCACCATGATCGGAGCGGTAGGTCCTTGTCGGGCCCATTTCATGACGAGCTGCGTCGCGATGTCGTACATTTCTGACGGTATTGTCAGAGAATTGCAAGTCACGGTTGACAAGGCACCCTACCGTCAAACATGCCTCGGATGGACAACGGTCCAAAGGCCGGAACGAGCACACGATGGGCAATAGCCCAGTTTTCCTCCCCGGGGTAATTGGCCGTGAACAAGCCATCGTGAACCCCATTACGAATCTCATTCAACCCGGCTGAGACGACCTTGGTGAATCTCTCTTCGTTGCAGACTTCGTCGACGAGTTCGTGGGTGCTGATGAATACTCTGGAGCGACCAAACGTTGTCAGACGATAGATGGGGCCTTGTAAAGAGTTAGCTTGGGGAGCAGCTCCGAAGAGTAAGGCAGGATAGCGTACCATATTGATCCGCCAGCAGATCAATACTTTTCAGAGGCACCTCTTGCTCGATGTCATAAATGTTTCCCAGGAGAGGCACGCCTCTGGGTCCTGGGATGGGGATCGTCTGCGACTCGCTCATGGTGCGTGAGGTTATCACAGAACCTTAGGAATCATGGGAGTAAATGAAACTTCAATGACAGTCTTGGATAGAAAAATGGAGGACAACGCAAAGGAGGGGCTCCAGGTACTTAAATCGATCTATCTGCACGACGATCGCACGTGAGAGCTGTATGCATGACAGTTCTGGATTACAGTCGCCAAATACCTATCCATCCATGCCTGAGACAACAGAAGTGCCGAGGAAGATGATCTGCACCATCTGGATGTGGTTATGTCATAGATATTTGTGTCAGGAGTGAGCGGGTCGAGTTGTGAACACAAGGACTGTATAGTCATCATAGTCTTAGCAGACTGAACCGGCACTTGGCAGCTCAAGAATGAAATCAACCCATGCTCTGAAATGGATACGATATCTCCACAGATCGGAAAGGAACCCATGTTGGAAAAAGATAGACAGCGGGACTAAGAGTCTAGGACACACCGGAGGAGATGTCGGGCTTTTTTTAATGAGACCAGATCATTGGCTAATTCAAAACTGGTGCCTACAAGCACCTTTCCATTGTGGCATTATTTTTGGCATTCGTATTTCGAGGAGATTGAGCATAAAATCTTGCCAAACGACATCAGTTCGGTCTCGTGGCGCAATGGTAGCGCGTTAGTTTCCGGTACTAAAGGCTGTGCGTTCGAATCGCACCGGGATCGCGTTTCTTTTTCTTTTTCTTTTTCTTTTTCTTTTTCTTTTTCTTTTTCTTTTTCTTTTTCTTTTTCTTTTTCTTTTTCTTTTTCTTTTCATTTCAACCTGTCATCATTTGCATTTTTCTTCCGCTATGTCTGTCTATGTTTTAAAGTTGACGAGTTTATCCTTGAGCCGGAGTTGTCTTTTCTGAATCAGGCTATGTCTGTAACACTAACTCTACGTACGTATGCAGCACATAAACAGCTTCCATCCTGAGAACGTGGACACCATGCTCCTCGGACCATCTAATATGGAATCTGCCGGTGGTA